GAATGCAAGTTCTGTTTCCTAAAAGCTGCAGGAATTACTGGATGCCATACCTGAATCCTGAGGGACAACTATTACAATCTTTGTACTCCTGGATGAGGAGAGCAGACGGTTCCTTACTGTGAGCTGCTTCTGGCACACTGGAAACAGAATCAGTCCTTTCAGAAACAGGCATCTAGCATAATCTACTTAGAGCCTACTACAGTTTTTGGACCAATGGAGAATTAATTTTTTTTTGTGTCAGAAGCTATATTGAAATCACCTAATTAACTATACTGAAAAGAACACAGCAATATCCACATGCATAATAAGCTGAACATTGTTTGTGCATTATTGCCTTAATATGGCGAACTTTTCTGGTACCTGTATTGTGAATGGCCAATAACATATGAGAAATTATTTATATTTTTGATAATAAAACTCATGCAAAAGAGAGAACCCGTGAGCCAGTAAAGCAAACTCACATGCATCATGATGTCTTCTGAAAAGGTAACAAGTAAATAGTTTTTTGAGAACGGTCACTTGGGATCTAGATACTGATCTGTAGTTAATAGCACATATTATTATTTTAAATTAATTAATATTTGTGCTAACCTGAAATACAAATTTCCGGAAGAAATATTATACTTGAACCTACACATTTTCTGTTTTCAAAAGTAATATAGCACAAATACACACAAACATACCTAGACTAATTAATCCTCAAAAACTTTAGTATTAATAATAATCTGAGGAGATAAAACTGGTGCAAGGCCTGTTGCAAGACGAAAGCAGGAGGAAGGCATTATGCTCTCACTGTAATATGAAGCTAGCACCCTTCACTATACACATGCTTCAAACACAAAGCTCCTTTTATACACACATTTTTCTAATACTTTGTACCAAAGTATCCAAGACAGGAGATATTTTTCAGGGACACTTTTGCATCGAATCCAATGCTGGTGCAAAAAGGAATGCTGAATACAGGACATTTATAACTAGAAGTTCAACCAAGTAACTAATTAGAACATTTTGTGTTTCTGAATGAATATTTGAGTTGTATGCTCTTAATATGAAATACTATTTCTTTAAGATATACAACATTTTACAGTCATTTAGATGTAATACATAATATTAGATAATAGGCTAGAGGATTATTGTTTCTATGAACTTTCTGCTCATAGTATCACCAACCTAATCTGAAACAACTTATTCGCTTTTGTATGTCTCCCTTTAGGTCAGATGGCTTCCATTCACTTCTGCAGAATTTTAAAAGCAGAGATGAAGAAATTGATAAGCACTTGATGAACAGGAGTCGTAGCTTATTCCGGTTTAACAAGAACATGAAATTTACTCTTTCTGTGTTAATAAACTTAAAAACATATTCTTGAATAATGCTCTTTATTTTCTTTAAGATTTGACCGGGATAGGTGTGTGGTGAACATGTAAATACGCATGCACACATACATACCCTTAATTTGATCCTGTTCAGAGTCTGAAGTAGCTAGACTACCCCTCTATTATCTCACTCAGGTTTGTTTCAAATCCTGACAGTGAAGATAAGATAGAGAGAACAGACAGAGCATATCTGAATCTACTACTAGGAAATGGAAAAAATATTTTAATTGAACTAGGACATTTCTCAAAGTGACCTGCCAAGAAGAAAAGAAGCTTAAGTTGCTACACCTCTTTAATACCTTATGATTGACTTACACACATATATATTCATCTTTTTAATGGGTATTAGCATTACCGGAAAGCAATCTGAAGCAGTCTTTTCAGAGGAGTAACCTTATACATTGTGAATAACCTTATAGAAAGATTAATGCATTTAATATATGTCTATCTATAAGTTTGCTGTGATTAAAATTTCCATTAAATAATAATTTTTATGCTGGTGAACAAACAAATGACCAATGTGCATCTTCTTTGGATATAAATGGTCTGATTATTTTTTTCTAAGATGCCTCTTTAATTAAGGCTTAATGGATCCACAACGCTAGGAAGCTTAAGAGATAATTCAGTAACCTGTAATCTTTGGATCAGAATGCAAATCTAACCTGAACAACGAGTTAGCTCACATCAGTTCAGCTACTAAGGTGGAGTAGTAAAGATGGACAAAAAAAAATCATTGAAAATAGATTAAGAACAGTTTTCTGCAGCAGCTCAAGAATAAAAATTATTTTCTAGATAAACAAACCTCTTCGTCGTTATTAT